CCCGCGAGATAATGCGCGAGGGCGTGTGTATGCGGGATGCTCGCGCGGCAACGCGAAGCCACCACGGTGGTGGTTTTCCATTAAACGCGTAACCGTTTCCCCGATATTCAACCGTTCCTCCCGGTGCCTCTCCCCATTCTTCTTCCCGTTGCCACCCGCAGCGACTTCCACTATTCAGATCGTTCTCGCAAAAATTAGCCGTCGATCCGTGGCTGCCAGTCGCGCGCGCGCTCCCTTTGTTACCCGGTCGAAACCGTCGAGCTTTTACCGAGCGTTTTTTTGCTCGTCGAACCTAGGCATCGCGATAAAAGCTCCGCGCCACGGGGTTAGAAGCCTTCCAGCACGGAACCCGGTCCCTCGTTCCGCCGGAACGAACGAACGAACTCTCCTGTCCCGCCGATGAAACGCATCGGTTCGAGAAACAACCCGCGTTCGCGGAAAACGGCCAACATTTTCGTTCGCTTTAACCGGGTCGTCCTACGGCGACGGCGCTTCCAGCGGCGAAGATGTTACCAAGGCACGTGAACGGCCGACGTTCCTTTGACGGGCCGAGTATTTATTTGGAATATACAGAGAGGGATGTCACGGATACTGGCGGATTCAGGCGGGATGCCCGAAAGCCCGGCTAGGCCCGTGTTTATCCCCCGTTAGCCTCCATTGTGGCCGCGCGTCGCCTCGGCCCTTAGTCGCCTCGGCTCGAATTGATCAATGGGATGGGACCATTGTAATCGCTTGGATAGTAAACTTGTCGACGAATCGGATTGTTTGCCGGAAACTTTCGACTCCGGACCTGCGAGAGTGGATGACTTTCGACGTTGCACGATTTTCTGTGATTAGGAGAAGGCATATTTGAAGAGTCCTATTTGTAGTGGACTGCAGTCTTCTTGCATTTCTGACACGATCGAGTCGATCTAATTTAGAATAGTCCGCGTGAAAATCGGGATTTCTTTGTTTACCCTTTTAGTGCCATGCGAAAAAGAGGTGCCTATGCGAGAATAACCGGCCGAATTTCACGGTTTTACTAGGGTTTGGGAAAATGCTCATGAAAACCAAACAAGGAACAATATTTACATGATACGAAAAGCAGTAAATTAAGGACGAAATAGAGAACAAAACAATGACACTAGATTTTCTATATTCATTGAAAACTATAGAAATAACAAAGGTATAAAAGATCATAAAGAAAGTAAAAGTCCAGTTTTCTCTCTTACAAAACGTATTTGCACATACAGAAAGTCATCTTTTCCTCATAATTTTATATAGACCATTTATTACAAAGTATATACTTTGCATTTCTGATATAGTTTGTAACAAGATAAATAATATTACATAACAAACATAAAAAATAACTCGAAGGTACATGGTAAGCGCCGGACGGATTATCTCTTCCGAAATACGTAATTGTTATAGGTAATATAACATTGCTGAAACAAAATTATGTTGTCATAAATATATTTGTGACATAATTTTGCATAATACTTCATTATAATAACATAAATATTTATATTTATATATTGTAAATGTGTAAAATTTTGTTATTATAAAGCGCTATAAGGCGCGGGCCGATATATCGGCTCTGGCACTTCTCGCCAGTGCAGCAAGAGCCGATATATCGGCCTGCGGCACTAAAAGGGTTAAGGAATCTACGCACGGCAAATATCTTTCATCCCCAATTTCGAGGGTTGCGGCCATAATGTACGCACCGACACTGTTATTTTAAAAATAAATCTCCGTCGAAATTTTGTCTGCCGCGTTCGCAGCCGAGAATTTCCCGTTCTAATAATTACCAACGGTAATTAAGGGAACGCGGACCGATCCGAGGGTTTGGGCAGCCGTCCGGCCGGGCGGCGTTTCGATTTCAGCCCTGAATAGAGCGATTAGTTTGTCATCTCGGCACAAGTGGCGAGCGTGACGAGCGAGCGAGCGAGCGAGCGAGCGCGCGCGTGTGCACAAGCCCTCACAAAAGCATCCACGTAGCACAGCAACTATTGACATTTCGAGCTCGGAACTGCTCTCTTGTCCGCGACATTTGCGTTCCCGTTTCCTTTCTTCCCTTTTCCAGCCGGCTCTCTGCTCCCTATTTTTTTTTCGTTTTATTTGCTTTCCCGTGGCCGGGCTTTCGAAAAGCTTTCTCGTGTCCCGGTATCGACGGCGTCGACAGGACTCGCGCGACGCGGCCGACGCGATTCCTATGGACGGGCCTCGAATTCACGCCGGGGCCCGGCGGATCGATAAAATTAGCGATTACCATCTGCCGTTCCTCGATCGAGTCCGCGGCCTCTCGTTAAGACGATAAATCGAAGATTTATCGGGCCCCGATCGGGCCCCCGATCGTATCTCGCCGCACGGCGAATGATCCGCTCTCGGGCCCGTAACAAGTTCCATCGATTGTTTTAAAGCGCGCACGCATCGGGCCGCGCGCGAGCCCGCGTGATAATTAACGGCCTCCCTCGTTACATCGATTCCCGTACCATCGATAATTATCGCCCGTGGGGTGGATTCGTTAAACAGCCATCAATTTATCCGCTTTATCGTCTTAAAAATTACACTTTACACGCGGCCCGGCCCGGCCCGGCCCGCCCGATGCACTTCGTCGAATCGAATATTGCCGTGCAGAAATTATCAGCCGAACGTTTCCTAAATTAACATTTCCTCCCGATCGAATTATGCTACACGCCATTATCCTCGATAAACGCGCCGTATTCCGCTCCAAGTGAATAAACCACCTTTCACAGCTTTTAATGCTTTTGTGCTCCGCTAATCGATTGATATCCTTGAGGGATAATGACTGATAGATATATATGAAAATATATTATTGATATATGATAATACTATGATATATATAAAATACTGATTGATATATGAAAATATATCAATGAATTTTTCTTGAACAACAAACATCTTTTATCGGTGTTTAACGCTAGATTTATCGGACCCGTGAAAATGACGGGTCAATAATTTTTTAATTTACGATTATTCGTAAAGATACGTTTACGAGTTATTTATTGAATGTATACGTTATTTATGGCGAATGTTACAATAACGCTTGTTCAAAATCAGAACAAATGTCTTATTGTTACTTTCGTAAATTAATATAAAACAGTTGATTTTTGTGCTCCGTAAACCTAATGTTAACATCAAAAATCTTCAGCACACAATTTCTCTTTCGTACGAGAATTACCTTGCACTTGGTCGATCGGTAAACTCGAAGTATTATACTTCGGGTCCGCTAAGGGTTAACTATAATTCTTCCAACAATTTTTCTGTTCTCCTGGATTATAACACGAGCTTGCTCTTTGGACAATCTCGCGTGAATGTACCGTTTCAAAGTCGAAATTAGTGGCGAAGCTTCAAAATTAATAATAAAATTAATTGTCAATATAATAATAATTAATTAAAATTAATAATCGTCGCTAAAATCGTGCAAAGTCTCGGCCAACATTGCAAACATATTAGTTTCAGCGCTCGATAGCGACGGCACGAAAATTACTTGCACGTAGGGTGATTCAATGACCGAGAATACATCGGCAACATTGCGAACGGCGATTGGCTGCAAATAACTAATCAGCGAGCAGAACCGGCGAGCGTTGCCGATCGC